GGGGGGCTGCCATTAACTCTTTCACTGCTGGTAAGAAAGGGCATGGAGATGGGAGATGACACATTGGGAGTCCATGTGAGCTCTGGTGACTTCCTGTGAAGCCTTTGAGGTAACCTATCTGAGAGCATTAGACAGGCAGGCCCAGAGAATGAATGAATTTGAGGCACCTGGGTGTTAATAAGGAGCACTGGAAACCTCCTGCCTGCTGTGCCAGGGCAGAGGTGGAATTGGGGGCGTGGGAAGTGCGCTGGGGTCTTACAGGAGCAGAGCAGTGGGCTGTGCGAGGGCTAGGCAGGCTGCCAGGGCCCTGGCTATCAAGGGCAAGGGCCATGCTGCTGAGGCTTCTGGGGCAGCCTAGTGGCCCAGCTGAGTGCACTGTGAACCTCTGAGTCCATCTGGAGTGTAAGGCAGCTGGGATCCAAGACCAGGGAGCGTACAGGCCTGAAGAGTTGATTTCATCTTCAGAGTGAGCCATATACTAAATAGGAGCCAACTGTGTGCTCTTGTTGCAACCAAAGCACCAATAGGCTGGGTTGTATTAATAGGACTGTTGGTTGCAAATCAAGATTCTCCTGCTCTGTTTGGCACTGGTGAGGCCTCACCCAAAGCATGGTGTTCACTTGGGGTGTGCAAAGCGGGCCCTATTCGATTCAGATTCAAATTTGGCCCAAATCAAACAGTGATTTGATTCGTTGATTTGGATCACTGTCCCTGATTTGATTTGGTCGAATCTGAAGATTCGATGCTGATTTGAACATAGACACGGCTTTAAAAGTTTTTCCTACATACCTGGAGGTACCAGCGCAGCTCATGAATGCCGCGATGCTGGGGTGGATGGGGCATCCCACAGGAGCGCGGGGGGCCCCCCTCGTGCCCAGTGGCAAACCCGGAAGTGGACCAGAAGTACTTCAGGTCTGCCGGGGAGCGCGTGGCACCCCCCCCTCCGTTCCCCCCACAGCTTGGCAATCGGCTGCAGGTGGACCCTGGGTGTCCCCTGTCCCCAGGCCCAGGAGGCACCAATCGCCAAGCTGGTGGCGCACAGGGGACCCCCCTGCACGCTTCCCGGCAGACCCGGAAGTGGACTGGAAGTGCTTCTGGTCCATTTCTGGGTTTGCTGCCAAGTGCACTGGGGAGCCCCCCATGCTCCTGTGGGACACTCCGTGCACCCCAGCACTGCAGTATTCACAAGCTACCTAGAGGTATTTAGAAAAAAACATTTAAAGCTGTGCCTATGTCTGAATCTCCAAATCTTTCCGAATCTCTCCGAATTGATTTGGAGAGATTAAATGGTCCTCTGATTCGATTTGGATTCAGAGATTCGGCCACCGAATCGAGCCGAATCTCTGCCGAATTGCATCAGGGACCGAAGCTTTGCACAGCCTTAGTGTCCAGGTTTGGAAGTTCTCCAGGGCCTTGCTATCCAGTGTAGACCTTGCGTTTAGCTAGAATCCTTTAGCTCATTTATAATAGTTTTAGTAAGCTTTTAGCTGCGTTCACTTCAAGTTAGGTCATGTTAGCATAAGTGAGGCTATGGGAAGTAGAATAAAAAGAACTGAATAAAAGGAACTGAATCTTAGATGCAAGAAGCTTCTTGAAAAGATTAGCCAGTCTTAGGACATCAAATCTGGGTGATTTGATGTGCATTCTAGCTGACCAACAGTGACAAAAGCGTCTCCTTTATGACGCAGGGGTGTAGGTTGTAGCTGTGTTGGTCTAAGGACATAGGCAGACAAGGTTCCTTGGGTGAATTTGATATCTTTTATTAGACCAACCCAAATAGTTGGAGAATAATTACTAAGCAAGCTTTCGAGTTCAAAAACCCTTCGTCAGGCTAAGGAAGTTTCAGCAGTTTGTGTGTGCTCTTCCAGGAACAGCACTTCCAGTAAAAGTAGATTGGGATATGTACTGTTACTCTTATTACTCTTTATTTGCTGATAATATTCATAATTGGAAAATTCTAATCAAGCTAGCTTTTGCATTCATTGAAGGACTTGTTTTGCATGAGAATAGGGGCTATCAAAAGAAATCTTTAGACACCTAAATCTACTCCAGGGGTCAGCCCCAGGGAAGGGGGGTGGGCAGCTGGGAGAGCCTCTGGGGGTTGCTTCAGTCTCATCTTCATCCATGTCTTCATCCTCTTCTTCCTCGTCCTCACTGCTGGAGTCAAAGTCAGGATCGTGTTCCAGACTTTTACCAATGAACACCACCAGGCCAAGCAGGAGTCCGCAGCCCCAGGCCTCCCACCCTGCGGGCTCTGGCTCAGGTGCTTTCGGGAATCCC